GCAGGTACTTCGCAGACCCTGACAGTGATGAATGGATGGATGCGATGCTTGCCATGTGCTTACAGAAGCATCGGCGCGGGAAGCACACGCCTCGCACTCCCTCGGCCGGCCGCTACGGTCTTAACAAGATGCGAGCCTAGTTGCTCTTGGAGGACCCGCACTGCGATCTGATCATTAAACGCACCAACACAGGAGCATTTATTTCTGTCGCGCGCGTTGGCGACGCGTGGCCTGGCCGCTCCAGCACAGAGGCAGTAGACACAGTGCACATCCCCATCTCGTGTGCTCGGCAACAGTGCCTCAGAGGGAAGAGAACACATCCTCTGCAACGCATGGCCCCAGCATGTCAGCAGTCAGCACTTGGGCTTGCCAGTGCCAGTTCATGGACTAATCGCAGCGGAGCTTCCGCGGGCCACAGCCAGCAGCCCTTCTAAGCAGGTCGAGTGGAGCATCATCTCAGCCCTCTGTCCCTCGACTCCGCTGTGCATGGCGTAGCCGGGAGATCCTCAGTTCCGAGCTTCGTACAAGTCACTTTTCACAGCTGGCACTCGGATTAATGAAGCGTCTAGAGCCGCATCCATGCCCTTAATATAACTCCTCTAACGGTGTACGCCTTTGTACCTCAGATCTGATACTGCCCAGCGCAGCGAGAGCAATGCGAAACCGTTGAAACAGACGTCACCACTCTGTGAGGGCGGCATCGCTCGGATGCGAGCTACTTTCTGCAGGTGAAAATGGACCTCCGTCCAGCGACATTCGGATGCCGGCCAATGCGGATTCCGATGCATGTCGTCAATGGCAAAGAATCTAGCCCGTCTGCACGCCCTGCGCCAGGCAGCGAGGCGTCCACGGTGGAATGCGCCCAGATGCTTAGCCCCGGGTCAATTCAGGGCTGCCCAGGTGTTCGTCGACCTGGCACGTGACAGCGTGCTGTGAACTGCCCAGGTGTGGAATTATTCCCGGCCTCTAGGCGCCTCACGCGTCACGACGTTACACCACCAGGCACCCCACCCGTCTACACCACCACCCCTCTATTATTCTCCGCCATGAAACCCCAAAAGAAAAGCATCCGAGACTTCTTCTCGCCCGTTTCCAGAACCCCTCCGCCTGCTGCTAGCCCGCAAACCACGCTGCCTCAGAGAAGTACACGCTCCCCACCAGTATTGCTGCCCCAGGCTAACCGCACTCCCACTGCAGATGCAAACAATGCGCCTACCCGTCAGTCAAACCCGCCAAATTCGTCTGGAGTGGCACAGGACGCAAACTCATATGCCGCCGATACCCCACTTTCCTCGTCCAACCCGCTCGCGTCCAGCGCGCCGTCTACAATGAGAGCTGCGAGTGCCGATGCGCCGCCCTTCAACCCCTCACAAACATCCGCAAACTCAGGCGCAAGCAAGCGCACAACATCCAATGGTCAGCAGGTGGTCCTCGACTCGGACGATGATTCTCTACCCGACCTTGACTTTGGTCTACCCACCCCCAAAGTCAAGACCATCGTCACGACCACCACCACACGTTCTAAGCGCATGTCCGAAGACCAAGAGAACGGTCTACAAAAGCCGGCCAAGAAGGCCAAGGATAACAAGAACAAGTTTGATGTACTTGTAAAGACGGCCCACAAGAATCTCGAGACAGAGCGGCAGATCAAGGAGCACAGCGCGCTTCTGGACCAGTCCCTTGAAGAACACGCAGATACTACCCTGGCGCTCAACGAGGAGCTACTTGGCCAAGCTGTGGACGATGATGACGACCCAGAGAAATCGCATCGCCTCCTTCAGGCCATGCAGAGAACCAATGCTACACAAATGGAGAGCGTCTACCATTTCTTCCAAGATGACTCGGACTCAATACAAGCGCAGCCCAAATTTCCCCTCAGCAGCCTGACCAAGCATGGATGGGTCTCGATTCTCAAAGGTGGGATGGTTACAATGACGATAGGTTGGATCTATTGCTAACATGGTCAAGACTCCTACGCCAGGGACCAGGCTTTCATGACCGGCTTTGCACAACAAATCTTTCGAATGCAACAACTTCCCGAAGAACTAGCTTCATGGATGATTGAATGTAGTGCGTTTCACATGAACTTGATAAAATGCTTCTGCTAAGAACTGTAGTTTCCCGAAGCCGGAATGAGGCACTTAGCTACAGATACATTGAGATCTTGGAATCAGAACCTCACAACAAGCACCTCCGTACGCTGCTTGATAACGACAGGCTAGATTCTTTATTCGGGGCAATGGGGGCCAATACAACTCAACTCAAGGCGCAGACTGAACTAGTCCCAATTTCAGTACCACGAACCGAAACTAAAGTCTTACTTCCTCCGTCACTGGTCTCTGTCGCCAGACTGCTTCAACAAGCAGCGCCAGTGTAGGTGGACCATTTACATGTACGGTACTTTGCTGACTCTAGTAGGCTACGTTCGAAAGCTCGAAGGCGTGCGCTCTCTATTCTTTGCCACGTGTGTCTAGATGACCGAGTTATTGCAGATGCTCACATATTACACATCATCCAAGACGCTATGGAAGCTCTCATATGCAACCTTGATAATCACAAAATGACCTCCACCGTAGGGAGTCCTTCACTGCAACACGATACCCAGGCTCTAATTTCTTCACAGCTTAGCGATATCATCTCCCAACTGCTTGTCAAAGTAACGCATCCTCTGCTTCAAAGGAACCTAGTCTGTTCTTTCCCAGCGACATCACCATTAACGGCATACCTACAACGACACTTGGCTCTCGCGTTATTAGTCTACCCAGTATCAGTCGACGTAGAACTCTCAGACCCCAAGCTGCCTGACATGATTCACCAATACCTGGACCAGTCTTCGAACTTCCGAATAGACAAGGACACCGACTACGAGCACCTCACGGCACGTTTGACATTGCTTGACATTGCCATTGGGCCTGGCTTATTGAATGTCCCGTATCAGCCCTTATCAAGTCCAACAACGTCAGAAACCGGCTCGTCTCCAGTCAGGGCTCCAGTACCAGCGTCATCAGAAGTCAAAGATTTCAACAACGAGGTGGATGCGCTTGCTCGGCAGTTCCAGCTACTCAGCAACTCCATCATCGAGGCTGGCGCTGCGGTGGATCTTACCATCATGGACGCCAAAGATTCTATAGAAAGACTACGCGCACGACTAGAGCACGCTGTGCGGATAGGCGGAAAGAAGGTCTATAACGTCTTTGGTGATGAAGATGAACACACACAGCCAAACCTCAGAAGGTTCTTCAAAAGCACGGGCAAAGACGCGCCAAAGAAGTCTATCTTCGACGAAGAGGACGATGTAGCGGTATCACTAGCCGATGACTCGAAAGCGTGAAAGGCCCTGTAAAGATGTTGCTCCGCAGACAAGTTCAGATTATGCAACGACACTGCGCGCAATCCTATAGTTCTGTAACGCATCTGTGAAAGCGAAGTTCGCATCACCATTGGCACAGCACTTGGCGCCCTTCTCCGCGCGACAATGTTGGAACTTCAGGGGGCGATCTACAGGAGAGCCAAACCGGCGTGTCCCATTGCAGCGCGTCCGTCATCTTCGCAGACTACCCAATGCAAGAAAACCATGCAATTTCACCTACTGCAATCCTTCGAAAACTAGCGTCTTAGCCAAAGGGTCTAGACAGGAGAGAAAAATCATGCGCGCAGCTGTATTCGTGAGGATGCTCGGTCGCGGCCCACAAGAAGAGATTCATCTCCTCCTGTCACATTGCATGGCGGGGCGACGACGCGGCTTACTCATCTAACTACTGTACGTGCGTGCGTGAGGCGGGTTCTTGGCTGAGAAACCCGCAGGTCTTGCTCATTAAGAACACGTGTGCAGAGATATTCGTACAGATGGATTGCAAGGCAGGCAGGCGGCACGGGTACGCTTCACGAATGGCAGATGCACCTGGCGACATGGGAAATAAGTCCTTCCAGATGCACGATGAGAGAGCTGTGGCGCATGCAGACTGCTGACTCGCTATCTGAGGCGGTGTGATGGTCCACTGACGGAACATGTGCAAGCTAGCAGGTTGCGTACCGTGGAAAGCTGGGAACGGCCTCGGCCAGGGTGCGAAGCGAAGAAAGGGAACGGGGACCTCTAGATTTCGCGCATCTCAAAAGAGCGCGAGTGTTTGGGATGGTACGAAGGAACCAGATTACCTCTGCCTTGAGCACACGTACACAGTTCCTGTCCGATCCACGCGCCTCTTCTAGCCCTAGCAAAGCGACCGAAAATGTCGCGCATATCGAGCCTACATGCCGAAGCCCACAACCCGTGACCCATCCCATCGCAGGCCCATCCCCATACAAACTCCACCTGAAATAATCCCGGTGGTAAAACATCACCTAGCCCCGTTCTGCCACCACATGCATGCAGGTATCCTTGGTCTCGGTAATAGTTCTTGTTATTTCGGATAGCAGTTTCCGCGTTTGAACTAGATGCCGTTTGCCGATGAACGGTTTGGCGGCTTTGCGGGATGGTCCTTGTAAAAGTAAATGCACTGCTGCACTCGATGAGAATGCGGATTAGCGGCCTTTGTCCGCGGCGCGTGGGCGAAGAATGTGACAGTGACAGGTGTAGTGAGGGCTTGGGGAGGCTTGATCTGTTTTGGTATTTGGTGTGTTTGGGGGTGGTGTTTTAGGTCGTGAGTTCGTGGGCTGGACATGGGAGAATCCAAGGATTGTCATGGCTATGTCAACTTGTGATGTCGATGAGACTCATATACTATTTCCATGCGGGTCGCGAATCTAAATTAACGCGTGGTATCCAGATCTATATACACAAAGAACGCTAAGTGCAGAAACGATGCAAAGCTGAATGAAACCAACAAAGCCAGTCGTAGGGAGTATCAGCGCTGCTGAGTCTCCGTCATTACTTCCACATCACCAGCTGTAGACTATGGAGGGAAAGAAAGAGTCGTTCGATTGGACATGTACGTTCGTTGGCTTCGCTGCCGGCTCTTCCAAAACCCTCTTCTTTTTTATATTTGAAAACATCCAATCGACTATAGTCCACCAAGTCCGTTCTTCTCGTCAATGTGCCTGTAGCGCTCCTGCTCCATGCGGTACTTGAGGACCATGGCAACGCAGAGTACGAGGATCATGTCTACACCGACGATGCCAAAGGCTGCAGTGAAAACGCGGTCCAAGTACGTGTTGGCGAATGAGGAGAACTTGCCGATGCAACCTCCCTTCTGAGCGGCGACCAGGGTGTTTTGGCATGTGCTATCCTGGACAAATGGAGGGGTGGTCGAGTTCACATAGCCGCAGCAGTCGAACTGTTCTTCGTCAGCTTGTGTGCACACCGGCGTGGACGTGCGGAAAATGCGCTTCTAGTGCTGACGCCAGTCATGGAAGACTCACCTTTTGCTGCAGGAGACTCTGAATAAGCGGCGACTCACGGCCCCAAAGTACACTGAGGTTGGTCCGGGTTTGCAGAGTTTCCACCCAGATGGCGATACCGAGTCCGAGTGTGAATGTTGCACAGATGACGACTAGCCAGCCCTGAGTACGAAGCCAGCCTCGATTTGTTGGAAGGAAGAGCGCAGGGAGAGACAGCAGGAATGTGACGAAAACGAAGATAGCATTGACGACGCCAGCTGGATAATTGTTAGTTGATGTTCCTTGAGACTACACTAACATAGGCGATGCGTGGGACAATCTGCCGCCACAGTAGTGTTGAATATCGATTCCTTCAACGCCACCCTCATCGCCCATTTGTGAAGGTCGTACCTGTCAATGGACACTGGCCGAGCAGCAGGTTCTGCGTGACGTTGTCTACAGTTGGAGTGGCGCGCATTGATTGCTCAGATATGAGGGAGAAGCCCAGCAACAGTCCTCCACATCCGGCGAAGAGGAAATCCATGCCCACAAAGGCCATCATCAGTTTGGTCGGCATCTTGACGGTAGTGTGGTTTGACGGAAGAGACTGGAGAGAAAAGAACGATTGGACAAAGAATGGAAGTCGAGCGCAGCGGAGCCGTCCGGCGTACTCTTGTGAACTACGTCGATCAAAGCGATCAACGCGAATTATTAGATTGAAAGTAGCGAAGAGAAGAGAAGGTGGTAGCAAGAGCAGCGCTCGCGCGGAAAATGCATGGCATTGGGGGCACGGGGGCCTTGAGCATTAAGAAGCACTGCGCAGGCGCGTCGCAGTTGGACCACGGCGATGCGTGGGTGGTTTCAGTAGTGTTGGAGCATGGTGGGCGGCCAATCACGGGCGCGAACGGGCATAATGGTTCGATGTTTTGGCGCTGCGACGTCGGTGAGCCACAGACGAGTAGATCGCGGCGTGAGGATGCGACGAGAAGTTTGGAACATTCATCAGGAATTACTTGAGATGAGGTGAACCGCGGCATTTGGCTGTCACGAGGCGCGGTGGTGGTGAGTACCCAGCTGCTGCCTCACGCAGGCCGCCACCAACAGCGCAGGCGTGCGGGACGAGGGAGCAGGCTAGACCGTCGCTGCAAGCGAAGCGAGATCAAACGGGGAAGGTGCGTAAGGGAGGTGCTTGCCTGGTGCTGGCTTGGTGCAGCCGCGGCTTCCAGCACGACCCACGCAGCACCACCGTCGTGGGATGCTCTGGAGTGGCATGAAGCGCATGTTTGGCGGATGGACAAGAGCAGCGGGCGGCAGAGTTTGGCATCTCGTTCGGATGCCTGTCTGCTGCGCGTGTACTGTCTTCTGTCGCCTGGGTAGTGTGAACTGTAAGACGGACAGGAGTGGGAACCGACATTCACCAGTTGACCGTCAATCTGACTTGAGCGGGACTAGCGGCGGCATCCCACCAATCAACATGAGACGAAACAGCGGGGCCTGCTCAGCTGCCTCTAGCGCAGCCCTCGGCCTGAGAGGGACGGCGGACTTTTCATGTGGAAAGGCCGCTGCTGTTCATCTCCAAAAGCGACCTGACAGGCCAAATTCTAGTGGGAAGGGGTCAAAGTTAGTATCAGCACGACGGCCGCGCTGCGCTGCAATCTGCCAGTTCATGCGTGTCGCGACGGCGGCGAGCGAGGCTGGCGGCCAGGGCAATAATTGTCGATCTCCGACTCAGAGCTGTGACCAGGGTTGCGCTCAAGCGCATCCGCCCCCAGTTGTGTGGATAGTTGAGGGCCTGCCCGCACCAAAGCAGCCAAAGCAGCCGTCGAGAGAAATACTTGACCACTCCCGCCGTTTCATTCCCAATACCGTTCGTCCCTTTCCTTCCTCAGACAGCTCTCGGGCTATAACACACCTGCACCACTCCGTCTGTCCCTGCGTGCCCGCCAAGCTCCACAAGCTCAGGGTTCACGAGACCATCGCTGCCTCTTTTTGCACGCTCCCAACGGCGCGCCAAAACAAAGCACTCGCCGCACCTGATCCCCCAGGCCGTCGTCCCAGGTACGTCGCCAGTCTCTCTTTCTTGCGCTGCTCCTGCGAGGCCTGCCGCGCCAGGTCACGCTCCCCGGCACCAAGCCCTTCGACCAGCACCCCCCAGCCACTGGCGCAGCACGGGCCCCAGAGCAATTTAGTGCCTTCCACCGAGCACAGTGCGACCAAGCGTTTCCTCCCCCGCGCACCTTTTCCTTGCATTCCTGCTGCGCCATCAAAGGGACCAGCCCCGATCTTTTAACAGGCCGCGCTTCCTTTTCCTATTGAGGGCGTCCTAAGAGTCTAACCCAACTCAAGCTGTCTGCAGTTCCTTCTGTAACATTTTGCGCGTCTGCCCAAACCACGCAAGAACGCCTGCCAACTCCCCACACTCGGCCCAACTCAGCTTAGGGCCTTCGTCCCCCAAACACTGCGGGTAACCAATCTTTGTCGCGACTCACCACCATGGCCAGCGAAATCACCGAGCACGACCAGAACGCGTCGCCGTCCGTCCACGACGACGGCAATGGCACCATGGGCATGGAGAACCGCGGCGTCAAGCGTGCGCGCGCCGCTGCCGACGACGACGACGACGACGATGACAAGCCCGGCCGCGAGCGAAGAAAGATTGAGATCAAGTTCATCCAGGACAAGTCGCGTCGACACATCACCTTCTCCAAGCGCAAAGCCGGCATCATGAAGAAGGTACGTTGGTGCCCCCGTCGCGCGCATCGTGGTGCATCTGCTCCCGCGTCGCTTGAAACCGTTGCCTGCACCGAGCGCTCCGCTAACCTCCACCCCAGGCCTACGAACTGTCCGTCCTGACGGGCACGCAAGTGCTGCTGCTCGTCGTTTCCGAGACTGGCCTCGTCTACACCTTCACCACACCCAAGCTGCAACCGCTAGTCACCAAGCCCGAGGGCAAGAACCTCATCCAGGTACGCTGCAACCACCCACGCGCCTGTCGCATTGCATTACTAACCGCGCCCAGGCCTGTCTCAACGCCCCTGAGCCGTCAAGCGGCGACGCGAATGGCGTCGACAACGACACTGTCGAATCGCCAGAGGACAACCACGCCCAAGTGCCGCCTGGTCAGCCACGCGGAATGCCGCCCAACAACCAGCCCATGCCCCAAGCCTACATGACGCCCGAGGCTGCCCTGCACTACCAGAGCTATCTCCAACAACAACAGCAATCAAACCAGTACCCCATGGCGCAGCAAGGCATGCCCCGCCATCCTGGCGGCCACTACCCCCAGGACCAGAAGCTGGGCTAAACGTAATACACACATACTCTACCGCTTTGGTAGCAGGTCACTACTCGGAAGGCGCATAGTAACTGGATAGGGATACCCACATAATGGCAAAAGTAATCACGGTGTCGCTCAACGACCAAGACGCAGGTGCATACATGCGAGTTCGCATGCGACGGTGTAGCGAGTGAGAAGATTTGATGTGGGCACGCAATGTTGGCGGGGATGCACTTGCACTTCCGGACGACTGTACGTCTTACGTGGATATTGGCGCAGTCTGTGGTTTCTTTATTCTCAGTCGTTTGTTCTCGATCAACATATCTAGCATCTCCTGTCACATTTACCAGGCGCTGTGTAGACCAGATCTATAACTCTACTCATAGTCTCGGTCCAATCCAGCACCTTAATTCACTCCAAGCTAGCCTCGTGGGCCGCTATCCGTGAGGGCTTAGTCTGGTCTGGGCATTGCTTCCTATTCCGTCGCTCGAACTTGCCTTTCTGGGAGAATAAGCTTGCCACCACAACTCAAAACCCTGAAGTGTCCGCGGAACCACTCCTTGAAATGATTTCTACAAAAACTTACGTTATCCGCTGTTTCGATTTCTCCGCCGTCTCTGGCTCACCGGTGCAAGAACTAACGTCCACACGCATCGCTTGACTCCTCTGAGATGCCCTATCACCTCTCTCCACTGGACTGCAACGTTTGTTTCGCAGTGAAAAGCAATGTGCAACGTTGACCCAGGCTCGTGCGCGACACCGATGACGGCTTGATAACGGCTGGGAGCTGGGAGCAAGGCTCTTGTCGCCTACCGGCTGAACTGAACTAGAGACTCGAGAACACCCTCGAGGAAATGTGACATCCGCAATCGCACGACCATGCCCGCCTAGCGCGCCTTGATAGATCACACCATGTACGTGGAACCACGTACGTCCTTCGGACTCGATGTACCGGGAGGCTTTGCAGAGCCAATGCAACACTGGTACCGTCTACCTCGAGGTTTGCTTTACCCACTGGCCATAACGACATTCGGTCACGATCACGGCAATACCCTCGAAATGCATGACTACGTGACTGCGGCATCTGGCTAATACGTCGCACCAAGTGGCAGTCATGTAGCACACAACCAGCCGATGGATGCGAAAGGCGCACGCCACCTACTCCTTCGGAAATATCTCGAGGGCTGGGGTACCTAGAAAGAGGTTGTTGATGAGATGCAAAGAGCGCCACAGTGGAGCGAATGAGGCTGTGCGAGTGTGAAGATGTTCTCGAGATGCCGCTGAGCGTAACTGATAACACGTCGTGCGATTCCGATATCGCTCTCACATTGACATCACCAAGAAGAGAATGTGTGTTTTACGTAGGAGAGAGATGAAGGTTTGTCGCGAGACACAGGTGGCCTCAAGACTGACAGCTGTGTCGTCATAGGGCTGATCCCAATTTAGTCGGCCAGCGGCTCTTGAAAATCACTGCAAGGTTACAACTACGGACCGCACCGCGGAAATCCGCCGAAGGATACCTACGCCGGGACATGGACACAGCATCGATGCAGTGCGACTGAAGTCTTCACGCTTTGTACGCTGTCCTCTGTACGTCGGGCCAACATGGTGGAACTAACTAGCACTTAGCCTCCATGTCAATTGTGTAGCGCCTGTAGAGGCCTCCTGGGACCATCTCATATCATTTTCTTGTCATTGCGTATCTGCCGCAGATAAATACTCTTTCAACGTTGGTTCTGGCTGTTGGTTACTTGTGTGCTACTCGACGCGTCATTTCGCGTCCCGGGTGCGGATGTCTTCCCGTAGATGGTCTCTTTACTTCTTTAAGTGGTCCCCGCATTTAGGAGAGCTAATGCCGGCTCTTAGGGAGGGTGCATTATAGGGATTGATCGGCGATGTTTTTTGTATGCTCAACGTGTATTTCTTTCCACCTCGACGATAGGATTTGGGTCTTGATTGAGAATGCCAACAGCTTGTATTTCTGGCACTTGCCGTTGACGACGCATTCAGAGTACATTCCATGGAATTAAAGGATATAAGTTGAGTCGAGCTCAAATATACATCTGGTCGCATGCTCCTGGTGATGGCTTCTTGCCAGTTTCCACATCACACAACGGCGATTCATCCTAATTCTCTACGACTGATGGTCGAGGAAACGGTAGACAACGCGACACAACTTCGACATTTCTCTGTCGTTCCTGCTCTACGGAACAGCCCGTGCTTTCTGTATCATATGTCAAACATCGATCAAGATACTAGAGTTCATTAATATCATATAAGTGGAAAGACCACCATTCCTGGTGTACAGCGTCCGATCATAAGCATCGGAGTACCCGCATCTACTAACAAGCTCACTGGATCCATGAAGAACGTCCAACCCAAGCCGGGCATACTCCACTACAAGGCAGATCCCAAATTTTATTCCATGCGCAGGTCGTGAACAGCTCCGTCGTGGCTATGTTGGGGTATTCGTGTTCGGCTTCGTTGACAGCGTTCAATCTTTAAGTATCCCTGTTCTGACCAAGCCTTAAAACTCAAGCAATAATCCAAACAGAGCTTAAGATGACAACAACGTGTATCGTGCGCTTGTCTCTCAACCACCATTCCTTTTCCATGCCTTCGCGTCCCTGGCCGCAATGGTATGTCTTGTGGCTCTTGCTGGCTCGATCTTGTTGTGATCGTGAGAAATGTTATAAGCATCCTCAGCACAAAATTTACAATAGTCATGTGTTTGATTCCGCATTCAAGACCCGTTGAACTGGGGAATATGAGTTGTAATTTTTGCTACCTCTGGGCTGATAGCTTCATCACTAAGTTGAGATTCAAGTGTTTGCATACATGCCGCCGTCGCCTTCGTGGTCCCCCGCGAAGGAGAAGGGTTGGAGGTGTGAGTTCGGCTCCAAGTTGTGGATCTGCTCAGGTGGTAGAGTACAGGCTATATGATTCAAACGCCTGAGGACACCACCACGCGTTAGGTAGATGCTGTGCACGTGAATTCTTGTTCCCCGCCTTCTCTGCGTTTGATGCGAGGCCTCTCATCCGTAATGTGGCCTCACGAGGTCTATGACACTTTTTGAATCGTGCTGGCTTCGCAAGCCTGGTGAATGTCTGACCTAAAAAGCTCAACGCTGGGATGAGGTATTGTGGCCTGCAGACCCAGCCTCAAACAGAAACTAGCTCCAGAAATGCGAGATTTGTGACGTCCTGAAGTTGCTGTGGGGATGAAAGAGGAAGGTTAATAGGCTTGGCAATTCGGACCCGTGGACGCGAAAGTGGACCGCGCTAGTGGACCGCGTCGCGTTTGCATGGGGAATCTCTGATGCACTGACGTCTGTGATGTACCTTTCTTCTGCCCAACGCACCGCAACCTCACCTCACCCTCACCCCTTGGAGCCCGGCAAACGCTCTCCGATTGACGCTCCTTTGACAGACATAAGACCACCCAACTGCCTGCGCGCCTTCCCTCCTTCTACAACCACCTGCGCCGGGCATTGAACGGGCGCGACGGACTCTGCAGGATAGATAGCATCCCCTAGATAGTCACAAGTGTAGCCCTTTGTGCTCGCATAGAGGCTCTGAGGACAGTGAATGCTGAACTGCGCTTCGTCATCTCGGAGAGATTGTGAGCGGGGCGCCGTCCTAAGCAGGAAGGGCCTGGGTGAGGCATCATGGCGGAAATCCTCGAGAAGATAGAGTAAGTACTAAGCTTTACCAAACCTCATCCCTATCACCTCGATTGCTTCAGGTCGGCCTGGAATATTGCTACACGTACCCTCCTGTCGTTACCAGCAGCTACATCCCCATGCCAGACATGGCTAACCTTGTGTCTCACAGCGAGCTCCAACAGCTACCCGAAGAACAACATCTATTCTGCCCTCGAGTCGGCGATGACGGATCTGTATACTACGACGAAGACGTTGCGGCATACCCGCCCGAAACCGACCCCACCGAACTCGCCGACCGCAAGCTCAAGCTCGAAGCCGCCGAAGACAGGAAATGGACCGCGCTCAAGGCCACCGAGATACTGGCATTCGACGGAGAGGAGGCAGCACCGCACAAGGAGTGGCTAGTCAGCCGGCTGAACAGCCTCATGCAGAGCTGCGATGTCTGTGTGAGGGTCTTCCACCAGAGCAGAGCGGAATGGCGAACACGGCTGATCGACTCGTACGACGAGGACAACATCGGGGATTTCTTACAAGTGGTAGACAACCAATGTCTGGGTCGCATACAGAAGGGCTTGGACGATGCCAACGATATACTCAGCAAAGCCGAACCGAAGACGCGCTCAGTCCGACTGTTACCGAACGAATGCACATACGGCTTCTTTGAAGCACTCAGCTGCGATGCCCTAATACGGAGCGAAGAACTCCTCCAGCGACACTTCGACGCACCATTCGACATGGTACAGACGAAGAAGCGGTTGAAGGTTCAGACATACCTCCCTGCTATGACGCGGTTCTTGTTCAGTAGGGTTGACAGGCGGCACAAGTGGGCGACGGAGTCATGGTCAACTTTCAAGAGGCCTATGCTAAAGTCAGAGTGGGATTGGGCTGTACGGGATTACGTCACGAGTGTTATGATGAAGGTTCAGATGAGCAACTTGGACTTGTCCATCGTACCGCTCTTCTGGGGCGGCATGCGACTAATAGTAGCAAAGATGGACAGGGACTTGATCACGGACTCTCTACGGGGCCTTGATGGAGACTTCTATCGACTGATGCTTGATCACCTCTCACTGAAGTCTGAGGGCTTCCTCGATCTGATTGCGACCATGAAGCAGCTGCTGGAGAAGTCACCGATCGACTACTGGGACGGCATGAATGCTGTCACCCCTTCCATTGCCACAGTGGTAGAGCAGGTGTTCAATAGCCCTGTCTTCAATCAGCTCCTTCTTGCAACGGCGGAGGCAAATGAGCAGAACATGAACAATCTTCATGCTGCGTTCGGCTGGATACCCGTCTTCCTCGACTCTATCAAGCTATCCAACCTTGGTCCGGCTGTCCGACCATTTGCACAAGCGCTGCTTGGCCGCTGTCAGTCCGACCGCTACCCTCCTGCGGCTAGAGCATACTGCTACAAGGAAGGTCTCAAAGTACTGGATTACGCCTTCAGGAAGATGGGCGAAGGCAAGACCATCGACAAGTTTGTTGGCCAACCAACCGTTAACGGCATGCTGGATTTGCTATCGGCTTTCATACAGTCTCTCGTCACGAGCCTCAAAACCTTCAAGCAAAACAAGGAAAACCAAGAGGATATGCAACTAACCCTCTCAGTGATCGAGCATGCATTCAAGCTGGAAGCGCAGTCTCTCATTATCGAGCGGCAGCTTATCTCTGCGCAGCGACCATCGCCCACCGAAACGCCCCCATCAAGCCCCCTATGGAAAACGGTTCTACGAGCAATAGGGCCCGATAGCTTAGAACTTGCTACGCATTTGCTGATAGCTGGGAGGGGCTTGATCGGTATCGAAACACTGCAGATGAAGTCGGGTGTCGACAAGGTACCCCAAACGGTACGACACTTCAACGACCGTTTCAGACTACTTTCTCAGTCCGTTACCGATGTTGTGGAGAAAATGTCAGAATTCGACCCCAAGTTACTGCAAGCCTTGTTCGGACAACAGCCTGCAGCAAGCGCCATCGTCTCACTAATGTTTTCGTCCACGGAAGACACTCGCAACTCCGCTATTGAGCTTCTGAAGGTTATTAGTGGGGAAGAAGAGCGCCGAGGAGCTCTACAACATATCTTGAGAGCCCATTATAGGCACGTTGTTCGAGGCATCTCGGACTCAGTCCGACAAGTTCGGCTGAAGAAGGCCTTCGCTCCCGCACCAAGTATGATCCGGACATGTACCGACATTATTGACATCCTTTGCAACTCTCAAGACGGTATTTTGCGAGGCCGAGAATACGACTCCAACGACGCTGCAGCAACAATGAACCTATGGGAGAGCCTATGGGATTCACTAACGATGATCTTCGCCACCACTGAAGCCTGGAGTAACTTGGGTTTCTACGATAAACACATGATGATGGACTTTTGCCGAGACACTATGCAATTTGCCGATGTTCTGTTCGACCAATGCAGCATCTTTGCAACTGCGCTGAAACCACCGACCGGCGATGAAGAAGAGGCAACATCAAAAACAGCGTTACTCAAAGAGCTGCTTGCTCGGCCGGCAAACGCGATGGAAGGTCTGGCAAAATGGCTTCGACTTCGTGACGAGTTCCTGTCTAGTAAATCCGTCACCTTGATTAGCAAGCTTCTTGTTCGTCTACATCGTGTGTCTATCGAGATCGACCCCGATGCGCTCTCGTACATGGAACGAGTTCTCTCAGGAGACGTCCGCGCGAAGCTGAGTCAGACGCAACAGGCCGAGCTGCAGCAAGCGCTTGAAGAGCATCTGGGCCGCCCGCTCGTGAAGGAAGAAGAGCCCGCGCAACCCAAGCAAGCCTCTATCAGCAAATGGATGGCTCCTGGAACGGCACAGTCTACGGCAGATGCTAAAGCTAAGTTGTTGGCCAGCATGACTTCCGGGTCTAGTAAGTTCCAGGAGCGACGTGAGCAGATGAGAGCCGCCGAAGCGAAGGCTGCGCAACAGAAAGCCCTCAACGACAATAAGAAGAATACTCAGGAAGAGTTCAAGCGCAAGCGGCAGGCCGAAAAACTAAAGCGCGAACAAGAGAAAGCTGCTGCGATCGCTAAGGCAAAGGCAGCCCGGGGGGCTTCAGGTCTCACCACCGAAGCTGGCTCTGGCCTCGAAGGCTTAGGTGTCCTGGGCAAAGATCAAGCTGCGAAGGGAGAGGGATTGATGCATTCTTCGGATGAATCATCCGACTCAGACGGTGACATCGATGAGGATTTGTTTGGCATCAAGAAGACTAAGGTCAAGACTGGACCGAAGACGAACATTGTCAACGAAGTCAAGATTCAGATGCCGACGAAGAAGAAGAGAGCTCAGCGTTCTGCCAAAGACATGCGTGCTCGTCTGGCGCCTGATCTCAGCAGTCTGCACCGTACTATCCTTGGCTGGAACTACTTCCATGAAGGCGACTTCCCACCCAAGTCTAGGCCAGACCAGTACTCTAAGGTTCTCAGTACTTTCCGTACACCTAATGATTACCAGAACACGTTCGAGCCTCTTTTGACTCTGGAGGCATGGCAAGGTTTCGTCAAGGCTCGTGAAGAGAACCAGTCCAAGCCATTCGAAATCAGAATTACGTCGCGAGCTGCTGTCGATATGTTCCAAGAAGTCGGTAGCACTATGACCCACGTTGAGAACAAGGAAGTCTTCATTTCTGAAGGAGACATCATACTCTTCTCGCGGACCAAGTCGCCCTCTGCGAATGAGCCCACATGTCTTGCCAGGGTATTCCGCGTGAAGAGGAAGCAACAGCACATCGAAGTTTCGTACCGGGTCGTACCAGGCAATCCTCTGTCAACCTCACTGCAGCCGAACAACACTATCCTCGGCTTCAAACTCGAATCGATTACTTCTCTAGAGCGCGAATACGGTGCGCTGAAAGGTCTTCAGTACTATGATCTTTGTGACGAGATCATCCGCGCGAAGCCCTCTCCGCTTTTGACCTACAAGGATAGCCAGATCCAGCCGCTCATTTCCAACTACGACGTGAACCCGGCGCAGGCGAAGGCTATTAAGTCTGCCATCGATAATGATGCGTTCACGTTGATTCAAGGGTAATACCAATATCCGCGTGTCGGCAATTACTATACTAACAAGACTGCAGACCACCCGGTTCCGGAAAGACCAAAACAATTACCGCCATCGTTGGAGCGATTCTCAGCGACAGTCTTCGCAACCGCGGCACCGCCATCGCTATTCCAGGCCAGCAACGTTCAGATGCTGCTTCGAAGAAATTGCTTGTCTGCGCGCCGAGTAACGCGGCCGTCGATGAGTTGGTCATGCGTTTCAAGAACGGCATCAAGACCCTCAGCGGCGAGTCGCGCAAACTCAACATTGTGCGCCTAGGTCGTGGCGACGCTATCAAAGCCAGTGTACAGGATGTGACGCTAGAAGAGCTTGTCAACAAGCGACTAGGTGTAGATCCATCGAACGGCAACGACCGAGAAGCGACGCAAAAGCTCTTCCAGGAACACAAGCAAATCTCCGATCAATTGAAGCAGGCCTACCAGCAACGAGATACTGGGGAGGTCAAAGGCGAAGCTGCGAGCAAGCTAGACGACGATATCAACGCGTTGCGCAGGCGGAAGACGGCCCTGGGTACAAAGATTGACAATGTCAAAGATGACGAAAAGCTCGCCGGCCGTAACGCAGACCTGAACCGACGACGAGCACAGGAAGCAGTCTTGAATGACGCACACGTCGTTTGCGCAACACTCAGCGGCTCTGGACACGAAATGTTCCAGGGTCTGAGCATTGAGTTCGAAACCGTCATTGTCGATGAGGCTGCGCAGTGTGTTGAGATGAGCGCTCTTATCCCCCTCAAGTATGGTTGCGCCAAGTGTATCTTGGTCGGAGACCCGAAGCAACTGCCTCCAACAGTGTTCTCGAAGAAGGCGGCTGCGTTTCAATACGAACAGAGTTTGTTCGTTCGCATGCAAAAGAACCACCCAGACGACGTGCATCTACTAGACACCCAGTATCGTATGCACCCGGAGATCAGCTTGTTCCCCAGTCGAACGTTCTACGACGGCCGACTCTTGGACGGTGGCGATATGGCCGCCCTGCGCAAGCAACCCTGGCATCAGAGCATGCTACTTGGACCTTATCGCTTCTTCGATGTCCAGGGTCAGCACCAAGCTGCTCCGAAGGGCCATTCGCTTATCAATATTGCCGAAATCAATGTCGCGATGCAATTGTACAAACGAGTCACTTCCGACTATCCCGATTATGACTTCAAGGGAAAGATTGGCATTATCACACCATACAAGAGCCAGCTGCGCGAACTCAAACAGCGTTTCATGAACGCATACGGTCAGAACATCATCGAAGATATCGACTTCAACACCACAGATGCTTTCCAAGGTCGTGAAAGCGAGATCATTATCTTCTCCTGTGTACGAGCCTCTCCGTCAGGTGGCGTTGGTTTCCTCCAGGACATCCGACGTATGAACGTCGGTCTCACGCGTGCCAAATCGTCTTTGTGGGTGTTGGGTAACTCCGAATCGCTTATGCGAGGAGAGTTCTGGAAGAAGCTCATAGTAGACGCTAAGGAGAGAAAGCGATTCTCTGCTCAAGATGTGCCAAAGATGCTGAACCAGCATTCTAGCAAGTTCCCGGCACCAAAGGAGGGTTATGTGCAACCTAATCGTCCCACACCAGAGGTCAAATTAGAAGTAAAGTCAGAGCCCATGAGCAGGGCAGCCAGCAATCAGTCGAGTTCCTCTTCAGAATCAGCGCCCAAGGCTATCAAACAAGAGATCAAGTCGGAGATAAAGAACGAACGAACACTTGTACATCACGAAAAGCGCAAGTTTCAAGACAGCAACGACGCAGGCGTAATCAAGCACGAGAGTAGCGATGCCGAGATGGAAGACGCCCCGTCTGACTCTGCCTCCAACACTATGAATGGTGGCAGTGGACGATCAACGCCGGCTGGCATGGCCGATGCCCAACGCAAGAGCTCAACGCCCAGTGGAGAGACGAGTAACGGAACGCATGGCGCGGTCGCTCCTCCGCCGGGAGATGTCATTGGCGGCATGTCGATGGCAAAGCCCAAGATCCGCAGACGACCTCGCGAACCACCAAACCCTTTTATCAAGAATAAGAAGCCAAAGAATGGCTAATTGTACATTATCTGGCCAATCGGAGCTGCTCGACCAGCATGATTTCCTTATGTATATGATTTGCCAACAACTACTTCCAGTAGTATGTGGCATCATTTGGCGTGGCGGACACTTTGATCAGCATTGTCTGGCGTTCTGTCGCGTTCCTGTGTACATGTAGCTATCCGACATTATTACTTCCTGGGGCCATATGCCCTGATATCGTATTAGATGAAGATCGGCCACGATGCCTAAAGGGGCGCTCTGTGGCTGAGATCTGGCAGGTAATGATCGACGTGCGTGCCGTGAGCTGAATCGCGTTGTGTGCGAACTACCGTACGTGTTTCCCGACGTCGGGGAATATCTAGAGCGTAATATAGCCTAGAGGGTGCAGTTCGGCGTCTTGTAGACATCTGAGCGCAGCGCATTGATCACGACTATGCGTGGTCGCAGCATCGCAAGTGCATGAGGGCCACGACTTCCTCCGGCTAGTCAGGCGTTCCTGTACCACCGTGACGCACCCACCGTGACGCACACCGCCCATTCTCAATTATTGGATTCTGCACTCCACATCATTCAAGCAAAAATCGACAGTCCCTTGTCGCGGATCATTCTGCATCGGCATATGCCTCAATGCATCAAAGCGCGATATCAGCAAGGCGCTCCCCTCGTCGCCGGATCAAGCAAGCCGCACTGCCCTCAATCTCTACCTGTACTACATCGCCACCAATCACCATTGTGCACTCGTACTACAAAGCAATGCGCCCAGTTATCGTCATCGGCGAGCGACACATTCTCCAGATCGTGGCTGGCTTGTAGCTTGAGTTCCGCGGCGATTTCTGAAATGTTTTGTGGGCAAACAATTAAAGTTTGTGCTCCTCGGCTGCAAACATCCTTTGCGTCGCGGAGATTCCACTACTTTCAAATGCTACTCCTATCATTTTGACCTTTCCAGGGCAAAGACATCTCCCGATCTATGCGACCTCATTGTCGGCTACCGGCTTCGCTGTCAATACGCTGTAGTGTCACGTTGCTCACCTCACGGCATCACGAGCTCGAGAAGTGATCCCTACACTCAGATCCGCCCCTGATTACACCACATTACTTTCCTCCTGTCGAATTTGAGAAACTGTCTTATCTGCAGCAAGCTTAGGCGCGAAGAAAGCTGCCGGTCGCCATACTTCCTAGACACTAAGGCCAACTCCACGTCGCCTCTGCCAATCACCGAAGCCAACCCTCCACCTACCCCTGCTTGGGGTTACAGCCAACAAGCAGCGGTCTTCGTGAGATACAACACTACTGCGTCTGCTGAGTTACCCATCTCCTGGCTGTACCACAATCTGAGCCAGCTTTCCCTGCTAAGCAGTACTTACAGCTCACGTTTAGGCATCGGGTTTGAATGAGGACTGTGGTTCCCAAGTCGGCTTTAAGGGTACCTAGCAGCCAGATTGCAGTCATGATGTCGTCTGCTTCGACAGAAAATCTCTTGAACTCGTTTCCAATGTTCGGGAATACCAGATGGAGTGTTCTTGAATATACTGGGGCGTTGGGAGAGACGTGTAAGATGAACACAAGCGTGTCGTCCGAGTCGCTCAAGCGCAATTCAACGGCCTCGACGCAGGACGAAAACACCCCGCCGACCACTGCAGGGACTCCACCGACTGGCTATGGCTTGTCATCACCGGTGCACTTTATAGATGAGTCTGGGTGCCAACGAAGACGCAAAGGCTCTTTCCTCAACCATACCCCACGACATTCCGAAATGCGGTCTTCAAAGCCACTCGACGTATACCAACCTTCCAGAAGTTTCAAAGAGAACTACTCGCGTCCCAGAACGTCTCAAGGATTCCGTTCACCCAGCAACAATCGTATCGCTGCAATTCCACGTGCTTGTAGCTCGTCAACAGCGTCACATACTACTGGAAGGTCCATTACGATTGAGTCTCGGGAGGCAATTGAGCTTGACTCCAAAGAAGTATTGTCGCCGTCGTCACTTGAGGTCTATCAACCGTCAGCCAGGCCAAACCGACGCTCGTCTTCCGTTCCTTTGGCCAGAGTGCTTACTTATGAGCCTTGCTCCGCTTTGTCTTCCGAGCGTGTAGGCTGCAATGCCAGCATTGGAAACGCAAGCATCCCGATCAGTCGCCCACAAGATAAGAAGCGCCAGCGCCGCCAGACGCCATTCAAAGTAACGATGCCGAATCTAACGAATGCCGCACGACATGCGCCGCTGGAGCCACTGGTAGCCAAGCACCGACGCAAGGCTAGCTATGACACCATGAGCGAGCTGCTACCTGGAATCGAAACCGAGCAAGTTGGAGAAATGGGTACTTTTGGGGTGATTCAAAGATACTTCGATAGCCAGACCGGCGGTCCAGTGTCTGTATCGAAGGCGATTTGTCACGCCTACTCACCAGACCCACGAGATGTCCCCCTCCCAATTTCACCTGAGCCTACTCTTCCGAAGTCGACCAGAGAGCCTATCGATATCTGTTCCATTGGTGAGCCAGATCTGCATGAGCCGCCACCAGCAGTACCGGATCGAAGTCCAAAGCGGCTTACGAACCCAAGCTTCCCAACCCAGATCGAGCCTGCCGTTTCCACGCATGACGAGTTTGTCTTCGTAGATGAGGAGCAACATTCGTTGTGTGACGACGACAAGCAACTGGACGGCGATCTCCACGTTCGGAAGAAGCGAATCTCAAAACGCCTTGACGTAGGACAGGCTGGCCGCGTAGGTTCCTCGCAGGTAGGACGATTGGCGCCACCAATTCTCAGCCACGATGCACTGACAGCGAGTGCTGATCTTGGTCTGAATGATCTCAGCTACTACCTGAAACATACTGGACCATCTACAGACCCCCAGTGTACGGCACAACCGCGCAAGCAAATGAAGCTATTCAAAGTCAAACAGCGCAAGACTCTGGCTGCTCGCGTTGGATCAGTGGAAGGCTCTCCTCAGCGAGTACGCAGACAGGCGCCTATTCCGACATGCGCCCGCGAGATGACCACGTCTGGAGGGGCGCGACATCTTAGGATCGTCATACCGACCGAAAGCCCTCGCAACACTCAGCTGGTAGCTGTTCCCACGTCTCAACCTCCAAAACAACGACGCTTCCGACACATCGCCATCACATTCGACGAGGAGATGCTGAATCCCCTCGCCAGCCCGAAAGTGGAGCGTATAATGGCCAGCCATGGGCGTCGTTCGTTCTCCGAACCAGCTCCTGTGTCGCCGCGGAGTCCGAAGAGGTTACCCAAGTCACCAAAGCTGGTGCCTGCTGATGACCACCCACCAGCGATATCTCCCGAGCCACGGTCAAACCGAGAAGATCAGACGAGAGCTCGGAAGCTGCGAGACTTGCAGCGCATCAAGCGCAAGCCATTGCCGACGTATGAACAGAAAGAGCAGCATCCCGAGGCGGTTGCTGGAGCGTTACCGACGCCAGCTCACACACCAGAACCTCTGTCAGATTCAGTCGCGATTGACAGTGGCCATGACGAGGTTGTCGAGGAAGAGAGTTCGATCAGCAAGATGGCACGGATGCAGGAGAGGGCCATGTTACTGCAGAGACAGAACATGGAGCTCACAGAGGCGCTGGCGAAGATTGTGGGGCTCGACCTTGAAGGTGGAGATCTGAAGCCGGAGGACGTGCTAAGAGCAGTCAGGCAGGTCAACTTCTCGCGATAAAGATAGTAACAGGCGGACGAGTAGGGGTACCCAATAATCTGCATTGCAATTAAATATATCTTTAATTTGTGACCGGACTGTGTCAATGCTTTGGTGTCGCAATCCGATCGTGACGAGCCAACACGAGGAAGCTCCTGAAGATCATGACGAGGCTTCCCTGAATGTTCCAAATATAGATCTGGTTCCTGGATGCTTGGCACATTGCTCAGCTATGGCAACGAATCGTGAAGCCACCTTGCTGAGTACCTAGGTATCCCGAAAATCAGACCGCTGCATTGTTTCCGTATATTCAACGTCTCAAGTATCGCTATCAAGCTCACTTCAAGCTATCGGTTGTCTTGAAAGCCGCGTCCTTCTTCTCACCGCCTGCTTATCGATAAGACACCAAAGGACCCCCGCGACCCCCAGTCCCGCGCGTTGGCACCAGCTGTAGAAAGACTGGTCAATTGCGTCGCAAACCTCGTCACACCTCAATTAGCCACCTGTACCTATATCTCAATCGCTCGAAGCAATCTATACACACGATGTCATCGTCCGAAGGCCCGCTCTTCAGCTCCGAGCTCATCTCGGCCGAAGTCCTCAAAGCACTCCCAGAAGGCTACAGCTGCCGACCGCTCGAGAGGAAAGACTACCACAATGGTTTCCTAGATGTACTGAGGGTGCTCACCACAGTGGGGGACATAACCGAAGAGGTACGAAACCTCTCCCAATCCCCTACAACAAGCAAGACACAGCTCTGCACCACCCAATCCAAAGCAAACATACATAGTACGAGCGCACCGCTAACACACCAACCTCCCCACAGCAATGGAACAAACGCTACGACTGGATGTCCGCCCGCAACGACGAATACTTCCTCCTCTGCATCACCGACTCGTCCAACGCCATCGTCGGCACCGGCGCCCTCATCGTCGAACGCAAATTCATCCACCAGCTCGGCCTCGTAGGACACATTGAGGACATTGCTGTGGCCAAGGACCAGCAGGGCAAGAAGCTGGGTCTGAGGATCATCCAGGCGCTCGACTTTGTCGCGGAGAAGGTGGGCTGCTACAAGACTATCTTGGATTGCTCAGAGGCGAATGAGGGATTCTATGTTAAGTGTGGGTTTAAGAGGGCGGGGCTGGAGATGGCGCATTATTATGGGCGGTAGATGTGGTGAGAGGGGGATAAATGCATAGTGAGGGCGTTATTTGGAGGGATTGAAGACATGTTAGATCTATGGGATATAGACTATCGACAGAGTACGGCTAGAGCATAGAATTCTGGTATGGAGCTGCGCGTAAACGTCGTTCTCTTCAGATGCGTATAGTGTGACCAGGAGAAGTCCCCC